GTACAACTTCAGGCTCAAAGAACAAGACAAGCTCAAACACAATCTAATTTCAAATAAAGCTTTGTTTGATTAAATGCTTTTTTTATTTCTTGCATCACAGCTTTTGTCTACTTACTGGATAATGTGGTGAAAAAAATACTGATCTATACATTTCAAATCTAAATTTTCACCTTGCAATGCCAGGTAATTCAGCTAGTATATTGTTTATGGATTTGAAATAACATAAAATTCATTTATTCTTTTGTTAATATATTTTTACTAAGATGTATTTATTGTATAAGCATGTTGACTTTGTTAAAAAGTATTATGTATTTTATATAATTAGGTTGGCTGAAGAGCAGTGTAAGCTGCAAAAGCAATTCCAACCAAGTAAGGATATTAAAAATACACTTTTTCAAACCTGGTGGTGATTTTAAATATATATATTTATCAAAGTTCCTAAAAGTAATTTTATTTAATTTGACATGGATATATCACAGTTCCTATAAAAATTATTGGTCAATTGATTTACTACATAACTTACATGCAAAAAATGTTTAAAAAATTAATTGTTTTATGTAAGCTAAGAAAATAAAGAATCATGGATTTCCACATCACTAAAAACTGAAATCAACATACAATCTACTTGTTGTTGACAATAAAAGTGATACTATGTGATTCTGCAAAACGTTTCTTACCTTATGTAATATCCTGTTTCTTATGGAAGCTGGCACAACTTAGTAAGCATTCTTAGTGTTCTAGTTTAATAATTTAGTGAAAATTTGGTTCTAAAAATAATAATTAGCTTTTGATTTTAAAACATAATAAAGCTAACAGAAATTTCTGTCAAAATCTGTTTTCAAAACATTCTTTTTAAGCACAAAAACATATATTAAACACTTTTCTTAAGCTTATAATAATTTTAAAATGATGTTGCATTAACATATTGATGATCAATATACTACCATCAACAAGGTAGGGTTCACTCTGGTGCTGAGCAGAACAATAAGTGTTATATATACATTTATTACACATCTCTCAAGATAAGTTAATGTCATTATTTTAACAGACATGAAAACATGCACTTGGCACTAGTAACACAATCTAGATGATGAAATATAACCATGTAATTATTTAGTAACTAAATTATGTGATTTGCATTTATATGAATCCCTTACACCATAATACTGATCCTCTTAAAACATAACACTACTTGATAGTAACACCTCCATATACAGTGGAAGAATCCAAAGAAAACTACCAATTTAAGTTATGACACAAGAACAAGATTCCCTTTGGTTAAACTTATTAACTATGTGTAAACTATATGTACAGTTTATTTCTTAAACATTATAATTCTCTTTTCATAAAACAAAATGAATTTCAAAGCTTTAAGAAAACACAATCGAATTCTATCTTGTTGCATTAAAATTAGCTATAAAATAAAACTACAAGTAATACCATACAAAGTTACTGGTAAATTACTGCAAGGCTTTACCTTTTTATGGGCTCCAGGAGACACAAGAACATCAATACAGCCAGTACAGTAACACCTATAGAATATAAAAGTAATATGGTTAATTGCTATTTAATGCCAAAGTATGTATATAGAGCATATGATGTTTTAGGGTAGCATATACTGAACAAACAGACTACGATTACAAACATTTTGAGCAATTTATTCTTAACTGATGCAGAATTTTCTTTGAAAAGGTATATTGGTAAAGACTCAACTAAGATAAAATAACAAAACTTTTATAAATAAAATTTCAATTTATAGTACAGGCCATCCTTTACAACCTCTAATGTTTAGTAATTTATATATTAGAAATTTATTATGGTTTACTGATTAATGTCCATTGTGTATCCTCAACTATGGAAATAAAAGGTTGAACCAAATAGATTATACAACTAAAATCTATTCATATTGATGCAAATAAATTGTGTTTACAATTACCAAGGACAAAATTCAGAGTGAAATAAGAATAATTTAGTCTATTAGTCTTAATCCCAAAAATCGTGGTTTTATTCTCTACTGTGAAAAAGACAAAATTAACTAAGATATTAATAATTTATATCATTTCAAAATTAATTTTATTATCTGAATTATTGGAAAAACAATATGACCTCAGTCATTATTGAAATTTGATAATTTGAAAACCATATGGAAAAAATAGAACTAAAACAAAATAAGAGACAATTAATTGCAAAATGACTACTGACCATTCATTAAGATCTACTGATTTAAATAACTCTGTGTCATTCCTTACTGTGTAAAGAGAAAATGAACTAAATCATAATCTGAATTAATTAATTCAAAAACTGCTATTTGTTGTCCTTTATTGTGGACAAAACAGAATTATTTTTTTGCTCATACACATTTAAAAAACAATTACTAAGAGCAGATTCTAAACTAGACTAACAATGTGAAAAGAATACTTAATTAAATCTTTGTTGTGGTTAGGCAGTAATAGTGTTTGTTTTAAATTCAAAATACAATTTATGCATAATGAAAATTGTTGTCAGCTTGTATTATCAGCCTTTTAATTGTAAAACGTTATTATTTTCCTACACTGAAAATATATTTCCAATAGGTATTTACCTTCTTTCACATATTAGCTATTCTTGTTCAGTGCCACTCACTAAATGCAAAATTGTTTTTGCATGCTACAAGCCTTGAAACTCTCACATACTAAACGATCAATGTGGTTTGCTGTATTTTCACATGTAAATCATCATGCAACAACCCTCCACCATACGATACACCCTCTTGACAAACGTGAATCCCTCTATTCAATTCTACCTAACCAGCACTTCAAGATTAGGCAGAAACTAAACACCAGTTTTAAGTGGGTAGGAAGTCTGATAGGAAAGAAGTACTTACTGGAAATATATTTTCAGTGTATGAAAATAATAACTTCCAATATGGTACTATAGCATATTGAAAAGGTGGAGGGACCAGTGCAAGGGATATAGATAAGTATCCTTCAAAAGTGTCCAAAGAACATCCATGGAGTGTGAACCCTCATTTGGAGAGGAACACACATGAGAAACTGCACAACTTCTGTACCAGGTATACTCTTCGGCCAGTTAGGTAGTAAGTGTTGCATAAGCTGGGAGGAGCAGATTCAACGAATGAATGTGTCCCATGATGTAGAATGGCTAGAGCACAACAGACCATACTCGGCAGGTCAACTCCAGTCCAAAACCAGGTGACATTGGACCATAATCTGAACCATGGTAGGAGGAGGGTCCACATAGTCTTCACTTCAACTTGAGTAGAATGGAAGAAGAAAATTTCCATACTAGTCTACTAAATAGTGCACATGTGTGCAAATCCACCACCAATACCAGTCACTCAGGAACCTGACATCTCATTGATGGTAGGAAAGGATGTGCCAATGTGGCAAAACCAACTGGAACAGTTTAACTCTGTGCAACCTCCACCTCAGGTAGTGCACCTCTCTGAGGTGGAGTGCCAGAGGAACAACATATGCCCAGTGCAACATCATCCTCAGAATAACATCACACAGAAGTTGGAGTACATGGATGATCAGCTAACACCTCGAGCAAGCACTGAGCTGGGAGAAATCAAACCAGATCCTTGTAACAACAACCCCTGGGACCCACTGAAAGGAGGGGGAGTGCATGAAGATCCTAGACTGAAAGGGAACATGCCACTATAAGAAAAAGCAATATATAGAAAAAAATAACTAACCATGTCACAGTCAAACTGAAGGCAGGTGACAAGTGGAAGGCTATATCCCAACGAGGAAGAAACAGCCATCTGATGAAAGTATGAGATGTCATCCACATGCTCAACTGAAGGATTTTTGCCAAAGAACAATGGGGGTGTGATGCCATGGAAAAAGTAACGTGCCAAATCTGACGCAATGACACCTGCAACAATGTGCAGCAAGTAGAAGATAGGGAAGAATACGCCAGTCTAATAAGTTGTCAAATCCAACCCGTCAGGGTAGAAGGACAAAGGTCATGTAAGGAATAAAGGTTCCATGGAATGAAAAGATGGATCAGATCCATGGAAGGAGTCCACATAGGCAATATAACAATGAAGATCGCGAACAGGACATAGAAATCTATCTGGATCAGACCAAAAATAAAGGTGGAAGATGAAGGGAAGTGAAATTGGCAAGAATAAAGAATGTCCCTCAAAAGCAGCCAAAGTTTGGGGCAGGAAAGATGAATTGAGATAACAAAGAACATACATCAAATGGAACAAAGTAAATGAAATACTGATGGTAAATATATGAGATAAACAATGCCCACAGTCTAAAGGAGGAGGAAATAAGTTTTAAGGGATAGGTGATAAAGGGAATAAGAGGACAAAGGTTCAAATAGAGGGAGTGTGAAATAGTGAAAAACAATATTGACATTCCAATCTGCAAGAACCACTTGAGAAGGTGGTCGATAAATCTAAAAGGAAAGCAATAAAAAGGAGACAGTAGGAGAGGAAAACAGAACACGATACCTAGGAAAAATAGAGAGTGTTGGACAAGACTACTCAATAACCTGCAATGGAAGAGACAGAAGCCCCATGGTCAAAGAGCCAGGTAAAAAAAATCTGTAAGGAGAGGAATACTGGCTAAAAGATCAATGGCGGAAAAAGTTCCACATACGCTGATAAACTGCAAGGAAGGAAGGATGAACAGGTCGGGTTAAAAGGGAATTGACATGTACTGACAATCTGGATCTCCTCAAAAGGGACTGAAGGTTATGGAGAAGGGATGGAGTGAGCAGAAGAGGTACCAGGAGGGTAGTTTGGAGCTGTAGGGGAGGAGGAAACCAAGGTTGTGCCAGCCAGTAAGAAGCAATCAGAAGGATCTGACATGAAGTGGAATGGATGACTGAAATCACCCTCGGGAGGAGCCGGATAGGAGGGGAGGAATAAACGTACCAGCTGATCCAATCCTGACTGATAGAATCCACAGCCAGGGCCTGTGGATGAGAAACTGAAAACCAAAAAGGAGGTAACTTAGTGTTGAGGCAAGTGGCAAAATTATCCAGATCAGGAGTAACCCACTGTTTGCAAAGCCACCATGGAATAAATCTGAGTTAGTCGAGAAAGATGATCTGGCACAAGATTGAAAGCACCCACAACATGACATGCTATGAGACATATTTGTTGTGTATGGGCCCAATAAAGTAGTTTCAACAATCGACCACAAAGAGAATGAAAAAGGGTGCCTCCTTAGTTATTGATATAAGAGACAATGGTAGAATAGTCTGAATGGAAAATAATGAGTTTGTTCCAAACAATAGGAAGAAAATGATCCAAAGCACATAGGATGTTGATATGGTATGATTGTTCTATCTGAGACTTTTGTCCAGAAGCCTCCTGCTGGTCGACCCATGCCCCCCAACCTCAAAGAGAAGCATCAGTGAACAGATGTAAATTTGGATGAGGAAGAGGAAGCAGTACCCCTGTCTGCTATAACGTTGTCCTTGTTCAAGTATTGGAGATGATCAAAAAGGGTAATAGAGGAGTACAAGGGATCCTATGCAAAATTACATTGGTTATGCAATGTCCACTGAAGAGAACACATATGAGCATGATCGAAGGAGATAAGGGTTTACATGGAAGCCCACGACTTCAAAAGCAACAGAACCTCATATGGTAAAGCTGGAAAGATCCAGAAACTGGTTGTGGTGGGACAGATCAATCACAGGACACTAGTCCCCAGTCTTTTCACAGATGACAAAAAGCCTCAAGTAAAAGCCTGGGGAAGACTGGCCAAGAGGCTCAATATTGTGCTGTGAGAGGAGTGTCAAAAGATGGGAGGGTGCAGAAGAGGAAATAGGTATAGAAGAGAGTATGGGAGCAGGCTGCAAAAATGAGCAACCAAATAAGAAAGGGTTGAGTGTTGCCTCACAGATTCCACATGTGACTCCAAAAATTCAGGAATAACTGCAAAAACAGACATATGGAGAAAGGAAGCCATCCTGAGGTTGTGAAGGTATGTAGTAGGTAGATGAACCCGAGACAAGATAATGTCCCTACCAAGGAGATCCTTACAGCAAAGAAACCATGTGTGAACAGATAGGGCAGAGGATGATAATGGCATTAACTGGAGGTAATGAGGGAACAGTTATCCTCTGAAAAACCCTTAGTGGATCGGTGGAGAGCCTCAGAAAGTAAGTGTATGGAGAAAAACTGGCCATAGGAGAAATGGATAAGATTATCAGGGTCTGCTCCCCACACAGGTAAACGTGATTCCAGTTGTTGGGAGTCAAGAAAAGGATGATAAGCCAATGCATAATGATCAGAAGCCTTTTGTGGTTGAGGCATGCTGGCACCAGCCCTCAATTGAGAAATGAAATGCTCAGCATGTACCCTGATATCAGGAGAAGAAGGGAAAATAAGGTAATCAGGTGATGGGGCATCATATAACAAAGAAGAGACAGGATCATAAGAAATTAGGGAATGAGATAAAATGTAATAAACCTGAGAAATCATGTCCATAAAAGCTGAGGGAGGCCTGGCTGATTCCTCACAAAAGGAATCTGAGTGCACGGCATATATAGGAGGTGGGAAAAGGCTGTCAAAATCCTCATCATGATGAACAGGTTTGCCAGGTATGGGAGGAGCCCAAACATTGTTGGGAGAAAAGGGTCGGCTCGTGTAAACATCAATCTCCCAAAGAATGACTGCCGAAAAATCCTCAGCCGAAACCCCCTGACTTGAAGCCTGTGTAATGACACTTGAAGTACTAGAAACAGAAGCTGAAATCATAACACAAAATTCTGAATTCATGATCAACTGTGAACAGGTCAAAAAAGCAATATGAGAAAAAAATAAACCAAGGTAAATTGCTTGGTCAAATACAACAGAGAACAAACTGTAGAACAATGAACAGAAATGGTAAAGCACTACTTCACAAAAAGAAAATTATGGAAAAAAATCAAAACACTGCATTAGACCACTGTCTGATGAGATATGATGGATAGGTAGAACTGAACAGAGGGAGTCAAGTATGTGTCACACTCCTGTTGGAGAAGAGTTGTCACATGATGATTAACATGAAAAGACACAGTGAATCACATTAATCTTGGTGTAGGTGGGAGTTTCGATGCTTGTGGCATGTGAAAACATTTTGCATATAGAGGGCAGCACTGAATGAGAATAGTTACTATGTGAGAGGAGGAATAATACCTTATCACAAAAACCTTGATGACCAAATGATCAATATTTTTCAAAAGATGAGTAATTCAGAGAAAACTTAATCTTACAAGGACTAATAATCACACAAACAAAATCTCAAGTGAAACTTGAATTACTGTCAAAACAAGTTTTGTTAACTCATTACTTAGGTGTCACTCTATCCTAGACATTAAAGTAATAATGAAACAAAAAAGTTAAAAATATAGACATGATTCAATGAAATTCTTCAGTTAAGAGAAGCCACGTAATATGAAGTGTATGCTGCTTGCTCTCCCTCTGGTCTGATATTCTAAGTTAGGAATAGCTATACCTAAACCTTAGGCCTAAACTTGACCATTTAACCCTTTATCATCTCCATCCATATATCTATGCCAACTATATGTTACGTATAGATTAATTCCCACTGATCTTTTTAATTGTCTGAATAACTACTGCTATAGTTTATACTAACTTCTTATGGTCTCTTATATTAACCCAAAAAACTAACAAACTTGAATTCAAATATAAGATGTTTTAATGACACTGTTATATAAATTAATCATAAAACATACCTGTTACAGTCATTATTATCACAGATCAAAAGTTCTCCAGCTTGGCCACAAATCACACAATAAGCCTGCACATCAGAAACAAATCATGAGACAATATGTTATTTATACTTATGTGGGTATATATATATAAATATATATATATCGGTGTTATCAGTGGTGAGTTGATAATAACAATCACACAAACAATAATAAGTTGGGTTGCCTTGTATTTTTCATATTATTAAACTTACACTGATACTCTGATTAACATACTGGGTTCCAATACAGACAAATATTTTGAATATATTTAATTAAATGTTCACACATGGACTTGAAATGATTAAAACAATATATGGATGGCATTTGGGGGTCTCTTGCCCACCCACAGCCCATGAGCATGATGCCAATGTGTGTATGTGTGCATGTATATATACACATACACACACACATATTTTTTATCTATTTTCATTAATATTTTTTTTAAATGACAGACAAGTAAGCAAAGTTAAGCATCAGCCAATGAACTGACAATCAAATGACTATGCATTCATTATAAATAGCAGGCTTTTGATCCACTTCATAGATTTTTTCTTTGTAGATCTGTGAACTCAATACATTCTTATTATCTTGGCTTATACTAGTGCTTTGGGACCAATGTTCTACAACTGAGCTACCAGAGGCCCAGAACCCAATTCTCTTATTGGATTATTACAACTGGCATTACTAATCTCACATGAGAACATTCTTGACACTTAATGCTCAAGAGAACAATATATAAACACCAGAAGATTTAGGCACATGAAGTAATGCATAGCAATAACACCAAATTCTAACCAGGTAAAGTTATCAGTTTTATAACCATATATGCCAATTACCAAAAATTACACAAAATCAAAAACATCATATTCACTGTTTAAAAAAAGATGAATTGTTCTACAATTGTTAACTTTCTAAAAAATATAAAAAGTATGTTTTACGTATTCTACACTAATATACTATGTTTACTTGAAGCTAAAATTAGACAAGTCTATATCTATATTGATAAATTAAAGCACTTTTTATGCTTTACTTTACAGTAAAAATATGTAATGGATAAAATTATCTCACATTAGTTCCATCTTCTCCATAAGCAAACATTGTTTCTACAGTTTCATTTTTGCATTGCTTACACAAGCCTCCTTCTATAAGTGGGTGCTGGGTAGATATTTCTACTAATGTTGAATCACAAGCTATACATACATCTAAATACACGTTTGAATTGAAAGAACATAATTACCAACTTGAAACCTTGATATTTCTACTGACATTTACTTTTTAATATTTAGAAAAACATTAACTGTTGACATTTTATAAAAACACTCATTTTGTACTATATATAGTTTTTAAAAATTATGAACAATAATTATATAAACAATAATCTACCTTTTTTAGAGTAATTGCTACCATTTGATGTAATTTTTATTTATATGTATCCTTATTGTAAAGTCTTTGACTCTGTCTACCTTTCCAGCTAGATCTAATGCTCAAAATTTTTAAAACCTTGGACTTGTACAAGTTGAAAAATAAATATAAACCCCCTTATTCTGCAACTGAACAAAGTACCTAATCCACATTCACAATCAATGAAATATTACAACAAACTTAGAACCAAGCAAGAACATAACACAAGTATTATCTATACAAATGAGGCAGTTAAGCAAACACTGATTAGTTTTCTCTGGATGTACATGTTATGTAAAACAATCTTAACTATTTTTAAAAAAATGTTCATTTTCATTTTTCTTAGTTCCTTCAACTTAGCACTTATCTTAGCATTTAATATTTCTTTTATTTGATTCATTTTTTAACAAAGTAAAATCAGAACAAGGCAAAACATACTCTTGAAATCATAAATAAAACAAGTATAGTAGACATTAAACCAATTTTGTTTTATTTTTAAAGGTACAGTGGTCAGTACACATTTGATTCTGTTGTTCTTATAGCTTTATGAAATGATTTACAACTAACAAAAAGGCCCGGGATGGCCAGTTGGTCAGGGCGCTCGACTCGCAATGTGAGGGTCGTGGGTTCGAATCCCTGTCACGCCAAACATACTCGCCCTTTCAGCCGCATTATAATGTGATGGTCAATCCCACTATTCGTTGGTAAAAGAGTAGCCCAAGAGTTGGCAGTGGGTGGTGATGACTAGCTGCCTTCCCTCTAGTCTTACACTGCTAAATTTGTGACAGCTAGCGCAGATAGCCCCTCATGTAGCTTTGCGCAAAATTCAAAACAAACAAACTAACAAAAAACTGTTTTTTCAATTGTTTTCTTATTTTAAAAGAAAGATTTTCTTTGTTATTTAAACATACAACAATACTAACTCCCTTCTCTTACATGTTATTTAATTAAGTAATTACTAAACTGGAGCTGAAACTCACTTAAATTATGATTGTGTATATATAAAGTAAGAGATATTTCTGAATGCCTGGTCTATTTTTCTAACATCTAACAAAAATATCTCTCACCTTGAATTCTAAATTTTCCTTCTCGAACTTTCTTTAATGCACTGTCTGTAATGCAACAAGACACCAATTAAGAGGACAGTTAATAAACTCTACAAATTTATAATTCATACTCATATTGGACTTTCTTAATCATAAGTCATCCATCTTAATTATCAATTTTCTTCTTTTCTATGCTTGGATTTCATTATCCAATAAATTTTAGTGTCATATGTATAAAAATAATATAAAGCTTGTTCCATTTTCCATTAGTTATATTGATATAATGCACAAAAATTAGCTGTTTAAGCTTAAACAATAGGGCTTTATCTAATTTATTGGTATATTTAACATATACATTGATTGAAATTATTTTATAAAGAAAATAAGGAGACAAAATTTTCTAGGAAAACTTTTTATGATAGTAATGTTTCAGACACAAATAAGGATTATAAATAAGAGTGAGCCACTCAGTGTATTTACATAGTTGTATTTGTGTTAGTAATCATACATACTGAGTTACTTTGTATAAGTAAGATGATTTTTATGTTAGTTATAGACAAATTAGTTTGGTATTTTATTAGACCTACACTGTTACAACAGTGTACAAATAAAGGAAGTTTTTTAAAAACATCAGTGAAGAAATAAACTAATTATTATTGTTTATGTGGACTGAACTTTGAATTGTTTTCACCAGTTAATTCAAAAGATTCCACCAACAAAAGAACAACATTACATAACATAATGTTTAGGGACAACAAGGGACTTATTGGTCCATCTAGATTGTCCCATCCTCTAAACTAAACTAAAACTATTAAAAAAATATAAAAAACTCAAAGCCAACCCTTATCATTCATATAGCTATCAAGATTTCTCTTAAACTCATTTAAATTTACTGCCTCCACAACATCTGAATGCAACCCATTCCAAAGGCCAACCACCCTGTTAGAAAAATAAAACTGTCTCAAGTGAAGATGACTCCAACCATCCAAAAATTTATATTTGTGTCCCCTAGTCCTTCCAATCTCACCATTATGTACGAAAAAAGATGATGCATCAACACTATCAATTCTCTTAACAATCTTAAACACCTCAATCAGATCTCCTCTAACTCTTCTTTATCCAAGAGAAAAGAATTTCAGAGATCTTAACCTCTTCTCGTATGACATCACAACACCTTCATCCCAGGCACCATTCTAGTAACCCTCCTTTGAACCCTTTCATACAATTCAATGTCCTTCCTAAGGTAAGGAGCTCAAGACCGAACACAATACTCCAAATGTGGCCTAACCAGTGACCTATACAAAGAAATTATAACCTC